TTTCGCTTCTAACCTAGCAGAGGTAAACGTCTTTTAAATGGCCTCTTTTTCCTGGAAAAACTGTACAACGATGATGTTAAAATTTCAGTGTTAACCGCCCAGATGGAAATTTTACAAGTGCTGCTGAAGGATGGTGATTATTTTTGTTTTGACGACATCATAGTAAAAATCAAAGAGCTACCCAACCCAGAACGGGAAATGATAAAAGAAGTTATCACGTTATGTAAGCTGATTGTCGTATTAAAATCCAGCAACCAGTGCAGCCGGTGAAAGATCCTTTTCGACTGCCCGGAGGCTAAAAACATGGCTCCGTTCAAGAATGAACCAGGAACGATTTAGTAACCTGACAGTTTTAAACATACACAAAGAAAGAACGGACAGGCTTTCCACCATTGACATAGCAAACGAATTTACCGACCGCAACACAAACAGAAAGCGTAATTTTGGCACTTTTCGAGTAAATGATGTACAGTAACTTTAATATCATTCACTAAATTATTTTCAGTTACCGTTTTGTTTTGCCGTGTAAATATTTTGAATGAATAATTAAACAATTATTGAACTCGGCTTTCGTATGATACGAAGATATACAGATCTCAGGGGGTGTTATCCACCGGGCTCAAGCCTTCAGCTTTGGCGGATAACCCCCTTGATCTGATACTCAGCCTCGTGCAATAATTGCTCAGTAATTATACAGCCTTGAGTTCAAGGCAGCTCAAGCAAAATCGTTGGATTTCTGGCTTATTTATAGTAATTAAAGGTTGATATCAGTAGTATAACATAACAATCTATGATGTTTCAATTTAGTGATGGTGAATTTTCAGACCCGATAGCAAGATCACTGAAGATGTGGAAAAAAATCAATAGCTTTATCGTTATTTGCATTCTCCGTCACTTTAGAGAAATTGAATAGAAATCCACAAGCATGCCCCCCCCGGCCCCCCCCAAAATTTTCCTTCACGCATTCTTCTTTAGCCCCCCCACTCGAAAACTTGCTGCGCGGTCCCTGTCAAGGCAGGCATTGCTTACTATTGGGATCTTCTTACCACTGGTTAACAACAGTTTATCATCCTTAATACAGGCTCTAACTTCTTCTTCTGTGGGTTTGACCTCGGGTGGCTGAACTAAACAACCGGCACTCACTTGCCCACGCTGCACGGGGCGACCATACCTATTTTGTCCTCCTGACTTCTGTTTACCTGATCGACAATTCCTCGCTTCATGACCTTGCTTGCCACATAGGAAACATTTCTTAACCAGAGATGGGCAGTTAACAGCCTCGTGGCCACGAGTGTTACACTTGAAACACACTACTGTCGTTGAATCATTCTGCTGATTCTTCGTTTTGTCCACCTTGGGCTGTACTTGTAGCTTCTTGCTCGGAGAGCTGAACAGATGCTTTCCCTGTGCTTCCGAGTATTGATCGGCAATCCTCGATATATGAACAAGCGTTTCCGGAGCTCTTTCACGAAGGTGAATGGCTAACTCTTTTGGACAAGAGTCAATAAACTGTTCTTTCACAATTAAATCTTTCAAGCCTTCGAAAGAACGCTCAGTGTTCGACAGCTCTAACCGACGCAACAAGTATCTATCCAGTCTCACTATAAACTGTTCCGGACCCTCGTCGACTTCCAGCTTTGATGCTCTAAATTTACGACGATAGCCATCCTCTGTAAGGTCGTATCTCTTCATCAAAGCTAACCTCACTCGGTCATAATCTTGGGCTGCTTCCTCAGATAATCACGAATAAACCTCTAGAGCACGTCCAGACAAAAGAGCACTAAGTTTCGAAGCCCGTCCAGTCTTCTCCCATTTAGCTGTAGTTGCAAATCTCTCAAATCGCTGTGGGTGCCTATCCTCTCTCAATTCAGCACGTTCGGCGACGTTACGGGCTTGTCCTAGAAGAGCAAGCTCTAGTTCATGCTCTCTCTTAGCGGCTTCGATAGCCTTTCTCTGTTTCAACGGGTCTGCTCCCAGCTCTAATTTTCTCAGTTCCCGTTCTTGCCGCCTAGTTTCTCTTTCTTCGTCTTCTCTTCTTCTATCTTCCTCAAGCATTCAAGGTTTCTCCTCTTTTAGTTCTTCTAACAGTCTACGCTTTTCTTTTTTTCCTCTTTCAATTGTCTACGTTTTCCTTCTTTTTCCTCTTTTTCTCTCCTTCTTTCTTCTTCTAACTTTTGTTGCTCCCGCACAAACTCGAGCAGTTTTTCTCCCTCCAATCCGAATTCTTTCCCTATCTGCAAAAGCTTTTCCATTTCCACAGCAGTAGTTCACAGCAATCACACTTGATATACTTCCTCGTAGCAGTTCTTCCTACTTCTCTGTATACTCCTTTTTCTTGAACTGTCCTTTCCTGGTTACTGTAGTCGGCAAACAATTGAATTCCTCTCCCGGACAGGCCCCCAATGTTACGCGGGTAATCTTTTAGAGGACGGGTAGCTTGCAAACCAAACTGAACGCAGGGTTGTCGGAACAGCAACAAGAAGATTTATTTCAAAAATGAACGTAGTTTCCACGAAGTAAAACTCCACAACAGCACGTAACTCGTTAGACTTACACGGCCTCCGCCAACTTCAATTAACTTGATAAACTTACGCGGTCTCCGCCAACTTGAATAAACACCGCTTCCGTCACACTTGACTAAACACGACTAACGTCGAATTCTCTTCGCTTGTGAAAAACTCGGACTCGCCTACTTATATACTATTACAATAAGTTTCTAGAACTTTCCAAATAGTCTAATTATAGAAAGATTACAAAATATACCGCTTTAGAAACGCTTACACAAGATCCTAAAATAAACAAACTATGAACTCTCGCGAACCTTCTAGAAAGTCACGCTAGTCACGCAATACAATTTTTCGCTCACCACTAATTTTGGGTATAAAGTGTAATGTTGTTTTCTTAATTTTGGTATTTTACACGAGTTTTAATTTATTTTTTGGTATATTGGAAAGTTTATTTCGGTATTTTGGTATTCACCAACCCCATCCCTGGCCGACCCTGTCTGATGGAATTAATAGCATTCTATAAGGGGGCAAACCACTTGCCTACGGCAGAAATGAAATTTCACGTATTTAAACTGCGGAAAAAAGATTTATCAATTGCAAAATAAGGAAAAAGCGGACCTGCTACCATATATTGATGAACCTACAGTGTATGATATTTTTCACCAAAATCCAAGATGGCTGTCTTTCGGAACAGTGACGTCTGAGCATCTGGTAAAACAAATCTTCGGTACACCTTTTTTGCTATGTATAACCATGAATTGTTATTTTCAAGTTGTTGAAGAGAGAAGAGAGGGCCCCAACGATAAAATTAAAGGGTTAAAATTACCTCGGTCGTAATTCCCTTAGATCCAGAAGGATAATTTTTGTTGTAACAGATTTTTTGTCTAAGCGAACCTCTTTTGCTAACCATGCAGTGTTATCAAGTTCTTGCTTTAATGGATTTTACAGTCGTAACTTACGGTTAGAACAGTTCTTCTCATCAGATAAATCATAGCAGTCGTTCCTTAGATCACATCGTTCCTCGCCCCATAGTATCTCGTCACCGCTATCACACAAGAATAACTCGCCTTTGGTTATTAAATGGAGTTTATTTAAACCTGAAAAATCAACGATATGAAACATCATCAAAACGGACTTGAGACATTTAACGTCACTGAAGGTTATATTAGCTGTCTCGCGTTTGTCGCTCCATGTAATTTTTGCAACATAATTAAGCCAGTTGCTGGGTAATATAAGTCTCGTGGCTTCCTTGAACTTCGATGACTTGCCTTTTTTTCTTAGTCGGCTTCGGACAGCACAGCGTAAATGTCATAATTTTCACGCATGGGTAAATAAAATGCCTTACGCTAGGGCTTTTTCCTAACCTCTTATAGCTCCTGTGCAAACCGTAGCTCTTCTTTTCCCTGCTCTTCTTTTCCCTAGATAGCAGCCAGGCCTAATCATCTCAAGCCGGGGGTTTTGAAGACAATAAAAGTCTACACCGCCATCTTTCCAGTGATCGTCACCATAAAAGACTTTACCATTCCATCTACAAGCTATAAAAAGATGTGTTTATTTACAAACAATTATTCCAGCCACCGCTATTAATCGATCACTGCTTAACTAACTCCGGCGTGCAAAACTGAAAATGGCCCGTGATCTTGTGGCAAGACAAGTTCAATTATCACTCGGCTTTCTCCCATCAACCTTCACTTTTACTGCGAATAGAAAATGAAAGATGAACTTAAACAACAAATTTAGCTATGAGTACCCAAAAAACGGGGCAACTCATTTCAGTACTCCCTCGGGTGGGAGAGGGGCGGGATTTTCTTGAATTCGGCAGTTTATGATAGGGTATGAGACTCAGTGGACCTAGAAAAGGGCATCCTTTGTGACATTTGATTACTGCAGGTGTCGTTTGTGGTAAGAATTTTCGTTTCTGGTTGATGGTTAGACTGGTAGGGATTTTTGGTTCCTATTCTTGAAAAGATGTAAAATGCCGCTTACATGGTCTTGTATTGCTTAAGAGCCCACCATTTTAGAGTCCCGTTTAGAAAATTTATCATGATCATCATGATCATCTTGGTCATCGTCATCATAATCATCACCATCATCACTATCAGCATCAGCATCAGTATCACCATCACCCATCATCATCATCATCATCATCGCCATTATATCATAATCATCATTATCATTAATATCATTATTATTTTCATTTTTATTGTTATCATCATCATCAACAACAACATCGACATCGCCCTTCATACTCATTTTCCTTATCATAGTTAATTTTTTTTAGAGGGTATCTATACCTCTGCATTTGTCTTTGTTTTCATGCACATAACGCGCAACATTACACTCTGTCTGGCTACAGTACTCGGTTATTCTTCCTTCAAAATTCTTTGACGATGATACTGATATTGTTCTCGTGCATTTGATAAGGCCACTTTGACAAGAACATTGAATACAAGTACCAACAGACCAGGTGGCTCCTTCAAAATACTTGTTCAGCTCTTCATCTTGACATGCTATGGCTTAAACAGGACCCGTAAAAAAAAAACAAGTGAACAAATGATTTCTGAACACATAAATTAATTCACGAATGTTTATTGTGTTGTGACCAGTCAAAAGAATGACCAGGACATGCGAGCAAGCCACAAAACCACAAACCAGTAGACAATGTTGATAAGATTGTTTGAAAGATGGCATGTGCAAAATATAAAATTCTCAAATCTGATTGACTGCCAGCTGTCCCTGTCAACACTGATGGGACAGTTTAAAAAAAAAAACAGTGTAAAAGAAACAGCAAGCGTCATGCCTAACAGAAACTCATAAGGGGTTGAAACGTGTAACTCTCGTATGTTTGCTTTGTCCGATGCTCGTGACTATTCATTTTCGAAAGTACCATATTTGGAACGAGAAGAAGAGACAACTGACCAATCAAACTTCGTAAACAACGTGGCGTAATTTTACTTCAGGTTCCCGCGCCCGCTTTAAAAGAAGGCCGACAAACGGGGGAAAAACTATCGAAGGCGAGAAAGCTTTCAAAGGTTAAAACCAGGAATCTTACCGAAACACTGAGCAGGATATTATTGCCTTACCACCCGGTCCAAACGTAACATTATGAAACCCATTGACGTCCTCCCAACTTCTTGAAGTTTCCACTTCAAAAGACGATGCCTCGTTGACCCTCTGCACAGTAATTTCGCTTATACAGCAAATACAGGCTTTTAAAATTCTTATATTAAAAGTCTAGAATAAACAGGAAAAAATATTTTCGAATAAAATTCATTAGCTGCGTGTGGAAAAGTGTCCAAAACCTAAACCTGACATCTTCACAATAAGTAATGCGAGTAATGCATGTGAGAAGCATTTAGGTTTAAATTCAGCTTGGATGTTGTAGTCACGATAGTGTTTTAAGCTAGTTGTATGAACGAACAAACTCAAAACAATAGACAGAGAAGCCGTTTCTTGAAAATTTTTATTCAAATTCCAAAAAGTTAATCCTTTAAAGCAATTCTGAAAACACTATCTGGATCGTGGATCCGTTCACGCAAGTGAAATAGGCTAAGCGCATGGCAAAATTCAACACAAATCCATCTCAAATCGGGGCACATTTTGTAATTTTTCTTTAGCGCCGAAGAGAACAACTTATAAAACCTCTATGAAACATTTAAAAATACATAAATTCCCTTTCAAAAACGTAATTTTCTTGGCCATAGAGTACAAAATGTACCTGAAAAGTTTAGCAAAAACTTCACTGTCTTGGTTGCATTTCAAAATAGACTATGGGCTCCGTCTTGAAGAAAACAAGGTTGAATTCCTCGAAGGACGATTTCTTGATGAAAAGCTTACCTTCCTCCACAAAAAGAAAGCCGAGCATTATTTTGCACTTTCTCTTTCCATTTTTTGTCTTTTAACGGTGTATTTTTAACCTTTAAATGCAGAACTCTTGTCTTAAAACATCTGCATGGTGATCGTGCGGCAGCCATTTTGTTTCCAAATATGGTTAAAGTGAATATTTACCAGCATCCGAGTTACACGTTTAAACCGCTTATGAGTTTCTGGCCTAAGTAATCAGACAGTACGCGCAATCGCGCGGGCGCTTGAATGGTTTTGTTTTTTCGCTGCTTGTAAAAATTCTCTAATATTTTTTGTTATAGTTACTATTAATTAGTGACAGAACTTCATGTCTTCCAATTCGGTCTGTAACCATTCTCGTCATTAAACAAATCCTACGACCGCATGTTTTGTTAATCACTCGCGGTCTACAGACCAGATTGAACTCCACTCAGTCATATTTCCATTATTTACAACTAAAGTGTTGCGGTCCGGCTGGTCGATTCTGATTACAAACACCATTTTTTACACTGTTATTATTATTTAGTCTTTATAAATAAAAGAGTGAGAGATCTTGAACCACGTCTCTATGCCGACTATGCTTTTCCTTGGATAAAAGAGGTTGTTCTCTATCTGGTGTTTAGTGACTTTAGTTTAAGCCCGCTTCATGACAGCCTACAAAATGTATTCCTAATATTAAGGCGAGTTTACACTATTATTTGGCGTTTTACATACATTTGGTACCTGTTTTGCAGCTTATCATGGAATAATTACGAAAGCAATAGGTGAGTTTACATTCATTGTCGATATCTGAGGATACCAGCTGATGGCTATTTGGGCAAATTGACAGATTTCCTCTCATTTGCTTTGAAACTTCCTCCAATGCTAAACAAATAAAACTTGTCAGTACTTAATTAATTTTGTCGGAGAGTTGATGGGGACATATGTGTTGCGCCATCGATCAAACTAACATAATAAAACAGAACTCTCGTATCTTGTTGAATCGATAAGCACAGACGTCCAACATTGTAATTCGATTCCCTCCGTGTGTAATTGAGTAAATTTGCTCACTATACGTGACAAGATCAATAAGAGTTCTGAATGCCTGGTTGTTCAAACGCTGGATAACGCTATCTACTGGATAAATCGCTATCCAGCGGATAAGTATAGGAAAACCAATTGCGCCATCCACTGGATAGAGATTTATCCAATGGATAGCGCTGTGTATCTTTCGAACAACTGGGCCCAGAACCAATCGCTCATGGGTTTCAAGTTATAGTAAAACAGAGACTGGAAAATATTGAGAGTTGAGCCCAATTATTGCAGGTAAAGTTGAGGAACTCAGGGGAGCTATTTAGCCAGCTCCTCTCAGCCAACTGGAGTTGCATTCGTGGAATAAAAATAGCGGGCATATTCATATATAGAAAGGATGGCATATATTTATATTTTAACTCATCTTCATCTCACCACATTCTCTCAACACACGTTGTGCCGATGTTATGACCATTATAATCACCTCACAGCATTCTCTGAACTAACGTTGCCCGGTTGCATAAAACTTTCTCAAGATAAGAAAACTCTTAGGTATTGTACTGGAAAAAAAAAAGCTTATTTTAAAACAATGCTTACGCATTCCTGTAATCTGAAGATGTCTTATGCAAACCAGCCCTGTTGGCTCTCGAAAGAAAATTGCAAAACCTTTATACCTGATTGAAAAAACGTTCTCACTTGTAAAGAATAAACCGTGAACTAAGAGGCTTCAAGGATTTATTGGTATACGTTCATTTAAAAGCAAGACAAATTCAAAGTTCTTTCAACAAAAGTTAACATTATCACGAGCTGCTGGTACGGAAGCAAATACCTAGAGTACTTTGTCATGCCGTTGTCTTTTAAGTCTTCCAAGAAAGCTTTTAGGTCATATATGAAGATTTTCAAGTGGTTTCGCTGCACTGGTCGACCGTGTACAAGAAGTCGCCAATGCAACACTATGGTAACAGGTTTACCGTCTGGAGGATTTTAACTGTATTGTACTGTACTGTTAGTAATATAGCTAAGCTTTTTAACTGTACCGAGAGATCCGGTCCCAGATGTGCCCTGCATAGGTGAAGTTGTGAGCTTATCGGCAATAAAAATGGAAACCGTTTGACCTTTTTTGAAATGCATCAGATCGCGAAAAGCTTCGATAATGTAAATTTTTCTGGAAATAACTTTAAATTTGCAATGCTAATAAAGTTCTACCCATAAATCCATATGTCCCATCGTTCGTGGTTTATATACTTTTCAAGCGACAACGTTTTTTCAAACAGTTTTACATACCTACCTGGACAATATGACGCACAGCAAACTGCTCCATTGTATACATAACATACTGGTCTGACCATTGGCGGGCAGATCCTTCCTACTTCATCGTTCGGTCCAGGAAAATAGAAGGTGCAGCCGCTGAAGTTCCACGTTTGTCCCGCAAATAGTAGTCCGTTGTTTTGCAAAATTTCCACAGCTGAAAACCAGAGGTCATCAATGTTGTTTAGTCCTGCTTCAACATAGAATTTGTTAAGAACATCTTAAGGTGATTCCCTAGTAAAAGAACCTAACATAGATTGTAGATGAAACTTGGCACACTGACGTAACCAGTCAAGAAGATGATAAAAAGGTAATAAAAAGTGGGGGTCACCGTGCTCGTTTTGACGTCACAATGCTGACAAATACGGCTATTTTGGACCCTTTGACAAAAACAACCCGCAGCCCAAAACTAGACAAAAAGGAAAGAGTTTTTCAATGATGCATGTGGTATCGCACAGAATTTGACTTCAATGTATTGTTTATCCACTTACGTACCAGAAAAATGCCTTTTAATGCCCTTGTTTTTACTTTACGCTCCAAAGTAGAATTAAATTGGACACGCCCTATTCGACACGTGATAGCTCGATCCGTACAATTTAGTAAAATTGCCGAAAAACTGAACATAGATTTGTGCCAAGTTTTTTCTCACTGAAAGGAAGCACTGTCCTTATTAAAATCATGAAATAAAAAATGGGGGCCACCGTATTCGTTTTTGCGCTAGAGCTGCAGAAAGTGCGCACCAAATGCATTTTACTTGATTTTTGAGAGAGGACTGGGGCGAGTTTCAAAATAGAATGTATGCGAAAGGGGGAAGAAAGTATTAAAACATCCGTTTTTACAGAATTTACATCGAGAAATCACATTTAGGGCACAATGTGATAAAGAAAGCGTTTAAATGAAAATCAAAGTGAATAAGCGCAAATTAAACATCCACTATCGAGGTTCTCCTTAGGAAGTCGAACTCAGCAACACGCGTACTGCTTACGTTATGCACATTCCAACCACATTGAGTCTCACCTCGGCAAGAAACAACCGCAAGCAAAAATTGCAATAGCGTTTCTCTTCGGTCAACTTCATTTTAATAATGTTACTTCACATGCTCTTTTTTACGGAGGCCATCTTGTTATGCGCAGTAAGAGATGCGCAGTGCAAAACCAGGGAATCACCTTAACCAAACTGACTTCGTTCGATGAGCCAAAGTATGGCCAAAGCTAGCCACGCACTTTTTAAAAGGGCACGTACATAATCGTAGCGTAATTAGCCATAGTAAGAAAGGACAGCGAAACAGTTATTTGATTGCATAAACATGTGGACAAACTAAAATAAACTCAGCTCAGTTTTACATGACATAAAGGTTAAATTGACATAGGCAACTAAACATAACTAGATTAGCCTTTTCCATTTAGATGATCCCAAAACAACTATTTTGTATCTATATTCCTTCTACTCATATTCTTGTTTGGGTCACCTACTCGGTTAGTTCCACGAACTGTTTAGGTATCCCAAACTCTGCACAATGAACCAACAATTGAAAATTTCTTTTCCTTCACAATCTCTCGATTTTATATTTCAAAGCACTAATTTGTATTAATTATTATTCTGTGTGAGTTTAAATAAAAATTGACTTGACTTGATAACTAAGGAATAAAAGAAAAATGTAACAACAAAATAGGGAGCGAGTTGGGATCATCCAAATAGAAAAGGCTAATCTAGTGGATGACCCCTATGATTTGGAGGTAGTACAGCCACATCCACTTTGTTGTTCTTGGTTCCTCGTCTTAAAAGTTGGAAATGTTGGTCCTTGAGGAGAGGGGAAGCCGTTGCTAAAAGTTTTTTATTCTTCTGTGATGCCTCCCATATTACTGGCATCAAGAAATTAGTGCAAAATCTTAGGCAAGCGCAGATGACCTTGCAACAGGGATTTCTTTCAATGCTTTAAATTAAATTAAAAATACCTTTACACTCGTCCTTTTTGTTTCGTAGAAACTGAGAAACTTTGCACGAAGGTTGTGTGCAATTTTCCTGGATCACATAAATGCCGTAGTAGTATCCTGGAAAGTACACTTCCAAAGTTTTCTTGCAGTTCAGCAAGCCTCTTGAACAGCGACAACTTAAGCAGGGAGAGACACGCCAGCCAAATTTGCTGTTTTTGATAAGATATGTTCCCCCTTCTTCATCTTTACACACTTCTGAGACAAAGGATGGCAAAAGAACACTATTTATTACAAAGGAATTCGGACCAACAAGTATTATTATTTATACTGAATGGCTAAGCTTATTAGTCAAGAATGAAGAACCTTGGGGAAAAAGACATCTCGAGGGGATAGTGTATGTGTTCAACCGTCTTTCTAACCGAATTCATCTTTTCCTGGCCCCTCTATTTAAACATTGAACAATCAATTGACAAATTTTGAAATGATATTTAAATGCGGCAATTTATTTTTGTTTTAGTTGATCACTTGCAAAACTAGTTCTGAGGGTGGTAAAGGTATGTCCAATAACACTACTATCTCTTTAAGAAGGTTGAGAATCTCTTACTATCTGCGCAGCCTGTTTCGTCAGATCCGTCTGGACATTCAAAGATTCCGTTGCACCTATGACTGTCCCAGATAAAATGATCTCCAGTGAAGCATTTAAACATCGCTGGTCTTCGCATTTGTTGACTGGCAGTCCCCAAAAAAGCTTTAGAAAAAAAAGGGAAGAAGCCCTTGTTAAAGGAGGGGAGTTGAGCCAGTTGACCAAACAGAAGGGAGATTATTATTCATTCAAAATTTGTCTCCGTTTCTCATTGACTAAAATCACATCATAACCAGCTAGCGTTGCCATATTGAACCGATGACGTCAAAAGTGCAACAAAGTTGCAGACTATTAAACCGTTAACGTAGAAGACCTGGGGACGAGTTTGAGTTGATTTCGAAGTGAGTAATGGTGGAAAATCTAACTCTTTTCACGGCGAACTGTTGTCAAAAAACATAACAAGAACAGCAAAAAGGCATCTCGACGGACTACATCTGTTAATTGGAGTATATTTGAAGACCTAAACAGCCCTTTTATCTCCTAAATTTCCCGATAAACATGCACTATAAACATCGACGGAGGTAAGCATGTTTTAGTAGGGGCACCCAACGACAGCTTCCTTCTAAATACATTAAAAACATTTAAGGTCATCCAGAGTTCTTTGAGACCTCTAGATATGCATTCTAAGCGGTGCTATAAAATTTGTATCTGTTTGGTCATCCTAGGGCAACTTGAGTCTTTTCGAAATTACAAGGGCTTCAGTATTATTCTTCCGAAAATGTTAGGTGCAATTTACAGATAATTATATGAAACTCAGAATTTTTCTGATTCCTCACTCCGTCGCATTTTCAAATCCAAAAATTTTAGGTTTTCTTTTTCTACGAAAAATAGGTTAACCTGGAGAGTGAAATGCGAAAATTAAACCTAAGAAAATCGTAGGGAATTTATTAGGTAAGGTTTGAAAATAGTGCGTGAATGGAACGGTTATCTAGAAATTTTTAGCCGAGCTCAAGAAATAGAAAATTCAAGGCAATATTCTCTTTTCTGGACAGATATTTTATAGAAACAGTTGTTGGGTGCCCCTGTTTTACCTTGTATTTAAACATGGAATTGTTTTGAATGAATAATAAAGCAATCATTAAGTTCGGCATTCGTAGGATATTGAGGATTATACAGATCTCGGAGGGTGTTATCCACCTCGATCTACAGAATTCTTCATATCCTACTCAGCCTCATACAATAATTGCTAAATATTAACGCTTAAAACATAATAAGATAAATTAAAACGAAAAAACATTCTGTTAAAGGACTGAAAGGATCCCAAATTATATCATTTCAAATTACTGGAGCAAGGTAGGTATTCTGTCTGAATTATTTGCAAAATTATAATCTATTTTCAAAATTTCTTTGTTTCAGCTAGACGTCGAGAAAAACTTAAAAGTTTTACCGAGGAAAGGAGTCCAGCTTCATTTTTTTAACATATGTAGTCAAAAGACAGTATAATGGATTTTAAAGGCGTCAGTAGTACTCGTCATTCAGTTAATTATATGACATCCCTAGTGGGATGAAAAATGCAAAGGAAAAATAGTATGAACAGCATATAAAATTTAATAAAAATGCTCATTAACTATTAAAAGTGATCGGCACGTCCTCCATTTCATTAGGGATTTCCTTTTAATTGCTTATCTAATCGCTTTCGCATGATCGTTACTTTCTTAGCTTTTCTTTACCTTTACAATCTGCAAATGAATCACTTTCAAAGGTATGCCAACAGCGCTCGCATATTGGATACGTCTTCACTTCAAACAAACCCCCTCTACTTAAACATTGAACAATCAATTGACAAATTTTGAAATGACATTTAAACGCGGCAATTTATTTTGTTTTAGTTGATCACTTGCAAAACTAGTTCTGAGGGTGGTAAAGGTATGTCCAATAACACTACTATCTCTTTAAAAAGGCTGAGAATCTCTTACTATCTGCGCAGCCTGTTTCGTCAGATCCGTCTGGACATTCAAAGATTCCGTTGCACCTATGACTGTCCCAGATAAAATGATCTCCAGTGAAGCATTTAAACATCGCTGGTCCTTGCATTTGTTGACTGGCAGTCCCCAAAAAAGCTTTAGAAAAAAAAGGGAAGAAGCCCTTGTTAAAGGAGGGGAGTTGAGCCAGTTGACCAAACAGAAGGGACATTATTATTCATTCAAAATATGTCTCCGTTTCTCATTGACTAAAATCACATCTTAACCAGCTAGCGTTGCCATATTGAACCGATGACGTCAAAAGTGCAACAAAGTTGCAGACTATTGAACCGTTAACGTAGAAGACCTGGGGACGAGTTTGAGTTGATTTCGAAGTGAGTAATGGTGGAAAATCTAACTCTTTTCACGGCGAACTGTTGTCAAAAAACATAACAAGAACAGCAAAAAGACATCTCGACGGACTACATCTGTTAATTGGAGTATATTTGAAGACCTAAACAGCCCTTTTATCTCCTAAATGTCCCGATAAACATGCACTATAAACTTCGACGGAGGTAAGCATGTTTTAGTAGGGGCACCCAACGACAGCTTCCTTCTAAATACATTAAAAACATTTAAGGTCATCCAGAGTTCTTTGAGACCTCTAGATATGCATTCTAAGCGGTGCTATAAAATTTGTATCTGTTCGGTCATCCTAGGGCAACTTGAGTCTTTTCGAAATTACAAGGGCTTCAGTATTATTCTTCCGAAAATGTTAGGTGCAATTTACAGATAATTATATGAAACTCAGAATATTTCTGATTCCTCACTCCGTCGCATTTTCAAATCCAAAAATTTTAGGTTTTCTTTTTCTACGAAAAATAGGTTAACCTGGAGAGTGAAATGCGAAAATTAAACCTAAGAAAATCGTAGGGAATTTATTAGGTAAGGTTTGAAAATAGTGCGTGAATGGAACGGTTATCTAGAAATTTTTAGCCGAGCTCAAGAAATAGAAAATTCAAGGCAATATTCCCTTTTCTGGACAGATATTTTATAGAAACAGTTGTTGGGTGCCCCCGTTTTAGCTTGTATTTAAACAAGGGATTGTTTTGAATGAAAAATAATAAAGCAATCATTAAGTTCGGCATTCGTAGGATATTGAGGATTATACAGATCTCGGAGGGTGTTATCTACCTCGATCTACAGAATTCTTCATATCCTACTCAGCCTCATACAATAATTGCTAAATATTAACGCTTAAAAAAAAATAAGATAAATTAAAACGAAAAAACATTCTGTTAAAGGACTGAAAGGATCCCAAATTATGTCATTTCAAATTACTGAAGCAAGGTAGGTATTCTGTCTGAATTATTTGCAAAATTATAATCTATTTTCAAAATTTCTTTGTTTCAGCTAGACGTCGAGAAAAACTTAAAAGTTTTACCGAGGAAAGGAGTCCAGCTTCATTTTTTTAACATATGTAGTCAAAAGACAGTATAATGGATTTTAAAGGCGTCAGTAGTACTCGTCATTCAGTTAATTATATGACATCCCTAGTGGGATGAAAAATGTAAAGCAAAAATAGTATGAACAGCATATAAAATTTAATAAAAATGCTCATTAACTATTAAAAGTGATCGGCACGTCCTCCACGTCATTAGGGATTTCCTTTTAATTGCTTATCTAATCGCTTTCGCATGATCGTTACTTTCTTTACCTTTACAATCTTCAAATGAATCATTTTCAAAGGTATGCCAACAGCGCTCGCATATTGGATACGTCTTCACTTCAAACAAACCATAGGTGACATTGACTTGATATCTGGTGCAGTTAACACTGCCATTTACACACGCGCACTTGATGCAATCGTTCTTAAACCACGTCTCTTGGTGTTTTTTTATTTTACCACTTCTATCCATACAAACTGGCTCCTTTAGCACGGCACAAAGGACGAATTTATCCCTAGAACAGGTGCACTTTGTCGTTGGATCGATTAACCATTCATCTCCAGGATTACGAATACGCTGTTCGTTGTCTTGACAGACTCTGAATACGGTGGTTGGTTCTAAAGGCGGCAATATGGAACATTGGATTAGTAATTCTGCAGTGCACGAACACTGGCTGTTAGGTGTGGGTTTCCAAACATCGCCAAGGTTGTAAGATTTACCATCAAATCCTTAACAATGTCTGGACAATGTAACTGCATTGACAAAGCCGGGTATTACATTAAACTCAATAGGCAGAAGTGACAAAGATCAGTCTCTGTCAAAAACAGTCATATTCGGTATTGCACTCAGTGAACGTCTTATTCACTGACCTTCTTATAAAATGACTCGTCTATGGTAGCATTATAAGGAACGTCAAGATCAGCAACAACGGCGACTACGGCTACAAAAACGTCACTTATGAAGTGAATTTGCGCTGATTTTAAAAACTATCGGGTTTTACTTGTTCAATTCGTCAAATGCTGGCATTTGTTTCAGGGGCGAACACTGAAAGACTTTTGTCTAGTTCAGGAAAAGAAAAAGAAAGTTATCCTCCATAAAACGTGAAAATAGGCATTTTCACGTCGTTGTTGTGCGGTAGGCGGCAAAGAAATTTTCACAAAAGTGCGCGTTGCAAGTTAAAACCTTAAACATAAACCTATTGCTTTTTTGCCTTTCTCGCTGACGTTGCCGTCGTTGTACTTTCGCTATTGTTCCGCACTGCTGTTCGACGCCATTCTAACGATAAAAGATGGCTATGTAACATGAGTAGGAGATAAAATGCATTGTTGAAAGGACACAGATATATATAATCAGTCAATAAGAAATTAATTGAATAAACTCAGAAAAAAACTAATCATTACCAGGAGGCCTAGGTAGAGACGAAGAAGTGAAGTTCCCGGATAATCCTACAAAAGGAGAGAAGCAAAATATGAAACAAAAATTGTTCTCAGTGTTATCATTAATAACGTACCACTTATCAACCGAGATTGAGGTCATTAAAAGGAAATCTCAGACAGAGGCGTCCATGTATTGACCGAGCGATAACGAGAGGTCAGTTCATCAAGGCCGAGGTCTGAGGTCTCTAGGCCAATCAAAACTAACTTGAATTATAACACTTACAGTTGCACAGTGCCGCAAATGATCCCCCAAATGGACTGCAAATGATCCTCGACCGTAAAGACCGCAAATGATCCCAAACGAAAAGTGGGAATGGCTTGGACTCAAGTTAGTGGATCATGGTGTCAATTTTATTGTTATAAGTACAAAAAGTAGTAAGAGTAAAATTTTGCTGCTCAAATAGATACATAAATAAAAAGTAAATGAACAATACAGTTAAGATTTAGTTCAATCAAATAAAAGGAATCAAGAAATAAACTTAAACACACTAATTTTAAAACATCGTTAAATCAAAGAAACAAGAAAATAGCTACGCATCGCAATGTCTTGTTTAGTTACAATTTAACAATTAAGCATGCAGTAATTAACTTCGATATAGATAAAACCTTTCTCAAAATCAATCAATCGGTTATACTTAGGGTGTGTTCCTTTCGGCGAATCCAAAAACGGATTTTTGATCCTAGATTTGCCAGATTTCGCGGTCGAAAGGAACGTGAAATCCGAAATTGGATTTGTAACCTTGGTAACCTTTCGCCAACGCGTGCAATATGCACGACAGCCTCTCAAGAAATGACGTGTTTTCTACTGTTTGACAAATTATGCGATTATACCGTGCAGAATTTAGTGGTCGGCAGTTCGAATAGCGACGATGGAACATATAAAACAGACAAAGAAAGAAGCGCATTAAAATTGAAAATTATCTAAAGAATGTCGGCCAATTTGATCCAGTTCCATAGCTCGGATTTTTTTATGTAACACGATCGAGTGCCTGTCGCGTCTACAAGCGAGTTATAGCAGTTCATTTGTTGCTTTTACTTATTTCTGATTTCAAGCAATCTTTAGAGACAAATACTTATTTCTGATTTCAAGCAATCTTTAGAGACAAATGGTTAGTATATGGATATTTTAATGTACCACGAGCAATCTTCTAGTGTTTTCAGATGTTTTGCGGCAAATGGAAGCAACGAGGAAACTCTACGGCCTCTATGGGAATACTTCAACTGGAAATACCGCTGGATCATCTGACTAATTTCGGATCTACTGTGAATGGAACAGCGTAGATCACTAATCTGTTAATCTGGATTTGGATTCTTCGGATTTCAAATCCAATGAATCCTTTTTCAAAAAGGATTCAACAGATCAAAAATCCGGATTTGGATTTGCCGAAAGGAACGCGAAATCCGTTCTTAGATCTAAAATCCGTTTTTGGATTCACCGAAAGGAACACACCCTTAATAGCGGGGCTCTCGCGCGCGCGAAGCGCGCGTGGGACAGAGTCCCATACTCATGGAATATGGTCAACCTCTTTTCGTTTGGTTGTACGTACGTACGCGTCTACAGATTGTACGGGTGGGGTAGGGGAGACTATCAAAAGGAAGGGAGGGGTGTCGCAGGCATGTCTTAGCAAGTCCACGTCTTTAATATAGGACATTAACAATATGGTCAATTGACAGCTGTCAAAACAGGATAGCCACTGACCAGTATCCCATGACCATATCGCGGGCTCATGTGTCAACTCATCGAGGTGACGTGATTTATTTGGAAGCTGTCCGCTGACCAGTTAATTGTTTTACTAGATCGCGAACAACGTTCAATCTCATACTTTTATTAGTTTGGGAGCACAGGAAAACTGATAATGTACAGATATTGGACATCAATGTTTTGATCAATTGACAGCTGTCAAAACAGGGTACCAGCTGACCAGTATCACTTGACCGTATCGCGGGCTCAGGTGTCGACCCATCGAGGTCAAGTATTTTTTGAAGTTATCCGCTGACAAGTAAACTAGTTCTTAAGTGATCGCAGGCTCAAGTTCAATTTTTTTTTCGAAATTCATATGAAACATGTTGAGTTTATGTGCTGCACAATTAAAATTTTGATTGCATACTGACCTCGGAGGCGAAAATGCAGCCAGCTGTTACAGGCAGGGAAGACAGTTGGAGTAGCCTTTCCCTCAAAAGTCATTTACTAATGGGAGCCTCGCTTTTAGCCCTGGCTAAATCTATATATTATCAACTTGAGAAAATAATAATTTTTATTAAAATCAATGTAGCACTATTAGTTCCAGTTAAATTAACACCATTCAGTTTTTTTGTAATACTATGGTCCCGTTGTGCATTTCCGTTAACACGTCAAGTTCGCCGGCCAAATAGAAATTATTGAATGAGGCTGAGTAGGATAATATATAGATTTAGCCAGGGCTAAAAGCGAGGCTCCCATTAGTAAATTTATAATTTAAATTAAACAATAAACTTGTATTCGAATTCCACAATTCAGTTGAACTTTAGAGCACATTTATGTGACTTTTGAGGGAAAGGCTACCTGATTTTAGAGAAAAATAATTTGCAAACAGCCCAAGAGTGAACCAAATCTTACATCGAGTCGATAGCCTCATATGTACACCCAAAAACTGGTAATCGTCTTCGATCAAATTTAAGAGCCGTAATGGCTATTGATCACCGTAGATTAATTAGGCCTGGAAAAAAAATCAGGCCAACTTTTTTGCGTTCGACAAGTTTACTTTGCAAAATCCTGCCAACAAATCTGGGTGCGTGTAAACCAACCTGTTATACCATGGACAGAAAGCAGTATTTCACAATACAAATTGCACTCATTCAATATTCATAAACTGTTAAAAAAATTTCCAAATTCACCTATACGGCCATCCGGTTCTCACTTTTGTAGTGCGAGCTGTGGCGAGTGTTTGAATGAACATTAACAGAGTTACGCTCCAAGATAATAAATAATTTATTATGTTTATTTTTTTATTTAATGGTTTAACGCGCGGCATTTTGAGTACTCCTGCAAGCGATGTTCATGAACGATGAAAACAAACGGCACGTACAAGCGATTAAAATTACAAGAGAGACTACTAACAATCAATGAAAGAAATATAATTCGGTGAAACATATACAGGGACAACAATTTTCATTCAGGAAGACAAGTATTAAAGTGTCCCTAAAGATCCTGAGTCTTCAAGCTTCAAGCTTAAGTTTATGTTTTAAACCGGCTTCCCGGTGTTTGCTTTTTTCAAAGACGAACTCGAGGCAAGAAAATCGCTCAAAGCCTTCCTTTCCGGCCAGAATTATAACTAAATATTCTTTGGAACGTTTTCTTTCTATTTGCGGTGAGAAACTGTCTAAAGGCTTTTTAAAGTTCTGTAAGATTATATCAAACCTGATACTCGGTGAGATCGTTGTCTCAAATCTTACAAACGTGCATAAACTAAATACCCGCGTAAACTACGCTCGACTTCATTAAATTAGATACAAAAAACAAAGATCAAATACAATAATTTCTCTGTCTTACCATTCGAGATGCAGCTCCTGATAGGTATCAAGTAAAGCCAGTATCGCTTCAGACTTTGCAATCCTCTTACGCATCAAGCAAGGTGAAAACGAAAACGACGCCATCCGAAATCGGATTTCCGACTTTGACAAGCGACGTATTTCTCAACCAAAAACCCAATAAACAAACTAGCCATGAATAACAGAAGACTCCTGATAGCAGCTGAATTTCATTTTGTACATCCAGTGGAAAAAGACAGTTAAAAACATCACAAGTTGACACAAAACTCTGTCAGCTTCAGCTGTCAATGTAAGCAAGATTCAAGATGCTGCATTAATTTTGTGCATGAACTCACCTGTCAAATTTTGACCAATCAGAGCATAAAAATTGGACGTAGAGCGTGACCAACGCGTGACCATGGTGAGAAAAATCAAAAGCAACTGTCTGCCTGTAACAGCTGGCTGAATTTTCGCGTCCGAGGTCAGTATGCAATCAAAATTTTTATTGTGCAGCACATAAACACAACA